GGCCATCAGTTTCCAGCATGAGTTAGGCAAATATGGCAATTGTGCAAAGCCTTCTGGCTCTGGACTGAAAACTCTTGGTGCTTGTCTCATAAACTCCAAACTATGCACATCATAGCGCCTCACAAAAACAATCCCTCTCAAAGCCTTGGCAGCTTCTGTCATGCCATACTTGTCTGCCAGGTCTGACAATTTTGTGAAAGTGTCAATCTGGACGCCAGACAGCTCAACTGCAGCATGAACCCCAAGTGGGATTTCGGGGAATACTGATGCAATCTGGGCCATGCTCGCAACCTTGACCGGGGGCTGGCTCAGGTTCAGGTCACGGGAGTACATTTTGACGCACACATAGACTGCTGTCCCATCCAAGCCCTCTTCCATCATCTCCCTGTGCTTCAAACACATCGTATCACCAGTGATCATCGTGAAACAGTGAGGAATTTCTGGAAGGTTTCCTGCTCGTGCAAGTGGATGCTTGTGACTTCTTTGCCTCAATGCATTGTACAAAGTTACCCCCATGGGCTGGAGCCAAGAATCGAAATCTCGAACTGCTGTCACATGTCTGGCAGAAATTTGTCCTGGTCGTTGAGCATGAGAACTGGTCTCCAAGCCTCAGTTGCATCAGGTTCTATCTGTTCGGGACAATCCGGCACACTGGCACACATGCTGTACCTAACTGCAGTCCTATTTGGCAGCAAGTAGCAGGACTTGATATGTTGCAAAATCTCATCCGGAGTTTGCCAGCTTGCCTTCTTCTTCAGGTATGAATACACAACTGCAAAGAGCTGATCCAAGTCTTCGTGCGTGTGGCCAACCATGAGCTGAAACAGAGTCACTGATTTGAAAATTTTGCGGCCCACCAGGTAAGACAGAAATCGCAGCACATACTGGTTCTTTGCCGACTTTGTGGTGTTGTCAGCAACTAGCACCAAATGAGATGGCCAAGACTGAGGACTGCAAGACTGCCATACCTGCTCCAAAGTCTGACACAGGACCTCCAAAAAATAGTCCGATCCCCCAACAACTTGTGGCCCGGCCATATACAGGAAGGTGCCCCATCCATGTGCATATGCACCTGTGAATGTGACTGTTGGTCGTATCAATCCATCCATCTCATGTGGCTGTTTGCCACCGTGGCCATGCAAACTTGCTGTGATCCATGTCATCGATCATAACAGTGAGAACTGTTCCTGACTGCAAGGGCTGCTTGGACTGCTGCTTGGACTGAGGACTGCAAGACTGTGCTTGGACAGTCGAAGCCCATCTCAGAGACCAATACAGCAAACGATCTTGGTACTGGTCCTTTTGATGCTGCCGCAACAATTTTGCAACCTCCAGCTTTCGACTCCATGACACTTTGGGGCTACGTAGCATCATCTGCAGGTCAAGGCATCGCTGGCACTGCTTGTGCTGACTCTTTTCACGCATGCGAATCATGTTGCTCCAGTGAGAATTCCACCTGCGTCGAAAGGTATCATAGCTGGGCATCTCTGCCCCATAGTGTGCATGCAGCTCAGTGAGGGCAGACCATTCAGCTTGAAACTGCCAGTACAAATCAGAAATCTGACATTTCTGAATGTAGCGCCGCTGCAGGCCACCATAGACTGCAAGACTGGAGACTGTGAGGGGTGTGGACACGTGCCCGTAGAGAGTGTCCTGCCATGAATCTGAAACAAAGCAACAAGCACTCCTACATATGCAAGCATTACTCACAAGAATTACTTTCAACAGGAGTCCTGATCCCACGGATCATCCACTGCAGCTTCATCATCTTCCGGCATACATTCTGCTACGGACTGGTGCAGCTCCCGGAAGAAGTGATCACACTTCAATGTTGCTGCGGCCTCCCGCTGTTGACTGCCCCACTTGGACCCACCAGCCACACCCTTCTTTCGCATGTCCGGCTGTCCAGCTATGTATTTTCTCATTGTGCTCTGGCTGCATGCTAGCTTCTTGCAAAAATTACAGAAGCAAACCCGTGAGGATCCAATGTAGTACTCGGTGCCCTTGCCAGTCCCATCACCATAAATGACCTGAAGTAGATGAATCCTTTCCTCTGTAGTGATACTCCAGAAGCTCTGGCACAAGTCTTGGAGAGACTTCAAATGCAGCGCCCGGGGTGCACAACCATCAAGTTGACAGTTGCTTCGGAGACATTTCTGGGCCCATCGTAATCGAATCTTGTCTGGGTCCATTGCAGAAATCTCATAAGAGTTCGAATGGGCCTTCAAGGTGGACTCTGCCAGTAAGCGACTGCCTGCATCTAACGACACATGTCTTTTCGCACACTGGACTGAGGACTGAGGACTGCTGCAAGACTCCCCAATTCCATCCCATGGGTTGTCCTCATGTCGTTTCCTGCACTGGACTGAGGACTGAGGACTGGAACACTCCCCAACCTCACCCCATGGGTTGTCCTCAGGGTCTTTCCCTTGCTGGACTGAGGACTGAGGACTGGAACACTTCTCAACCTCATCCCATGGGTTGTCCTCTTCTACCACATATTTCCAGGGATCCTCGGATTGCTCACAGACTGGATTCTCAGCAGGAGGTGCATTCCAGGGATCAAAATCAGTGGGAACATCTTGCTCAACCACCCGCTGCTTCTTGGCGGGCTTGTTTTTGGGCCGCCTGACTCTAAGCTTGGGCATAATGCTACCCGATGACATAAAGTATCTTCGGAGTCTCTGTTGCCATGGAACAGCAGTGTCTAGATGTAGCAGGCAGACTCGACACCTCCTTTTTCTGCCTATCCACACCGAGCTGCACCACTGCAGGACTGCAGGACTGCGGGTGCTCGAATTAAGAATTACAGTGCTGGGCTCTACTTTGAATTCCGACTTGCAACACCTGCAAGCTTATCCTTCATGCGCTGCAGTCTCTTGGCTTTTCTAAAAGCTTTTAAATCTTTGGCTGCACGTTGCTTCTCTTGCCGAGCTTCCTCTCGAGCAACAGCAAGGGGATGTTGCTTCCACAAAGCTGCAATGTACTTCCAAGAAAAACCCCTACTTCGATAAGTAGAAAAGAACTTTGTTCGTTGCTGCCTGGGGGTCAACCCGCACATTGCTTCATCCAACAGAGTATCATTCAAAACTTCGTCGGAGTTATGCCTCCAGTGTGCTATCCATCTCTTTACTTTGCGCTTTTGGCAGTCCCACTTGCTCTTCTCCCGAACTTTGCTGACAAGTGTGTTAGGATTCAGAGCAGGTGTGTCCTGAACACAAAGGCGATCACAGAAGGAGGCTGTCGGAGCTTTTGTTCCAATCATATGCGGCGGTGTGAAGTCTGTCAGCATCTGCATCATGCCACCGAACATTGCCTTGGCTGGGTAGATGGGCAAGGGGCTTACAGTTGGGTCAGGAACTACTTTCGGGGTTGGCTGGCCGGCCGGTGACGACATCAGAGTCAGGCCTCAGATCCCGAAGCTCCCAAGGCCAGGCAGTCACCTCTAACGATTCGGGGATCTAGGCCTAGATCCCCGAATCGCTTCGGACCAGATTGAACATCCCGAAGTGTTAGAGGTGACTGCCTGGCCTCTAGCACTTAGGGATGTTCAATCTGGTCCGAAGCGATTCGGGGATCTAGGCCTAGATCCCCGAATCGTTAGAGGTGACTGCCTGGCCTTGGGAGCTTCGGGATCTGAGGCCTGACTCTGATGTCGTCACCGGCCGGCCACCGGAAGAAACAACCAAACAGAGATACTCAGTGCATCTTATGATCGGCTTGCCCAACGTAGTGTATACAAACACTATTTCATTATGATATTTAACTGCTACTGCAGTCTGACTCCTACCACCACAACTACTAACAGAACTTCGTGTATGAGTACTAGAGCTTGTAGTATTGTTCGGACCAGGACAAGTACTAGCATATTAAATATACTATTAGAAGAAGTATGACTCCTGCAATAACCACAACACCTACACTTCATGAAGTACCGGAGTACATGCTCATTCTACCACTACCAGTGAATGTATTCCTGCCACTACTAGTACTGATAGTAGTGTCTGCTTCGACTACTACGATGACTTCCCACTGGTACTTGCACTATTGCAAGTTCTACTGCTTATCAAACTATGGCCGAACTGCTGCTGCCTAGCTGCTGCTGGAAAGTGGGAAGCACGGCGCAGCAGATGCAAACCTGGATTGGGATTGAAAGGAAATGCACCCACAGCTCCCCGACAAAGTTTGCCAATGTACGTGCAGCACAAGTGCCGGTTCTCCAAACCCGAATCCTGAAATGCCGAACCCGAGCTATTGATGTTCAGATTGCCGAGCCCAGCACCTGTCTGTCGTCTTGCACGACTCTACCAAGTGTCTTCTGCCTTCCATGAGACAGGCTTGGGCTATTATGAGATTTGTCTAGTTAAAGTGTGCTTGCACAGGTGTGTTGATTCCCCTCAGGAGTTTACATATCAGGATGTTGACATGCTAGGACATGATACCTTTGGCTTTGAGGGTTCACTGTATGCGAAAATAGAAATCGGAGTATTCTGTACCCGAGCCACATATCACTGTGTTTCTTCCTCAAGGCTCTGAGCTCTAAGACCCCCAAGATATCCGAATACATATATATATATATATATATATATACATATAATGTTCCAGGACTATGAATGAATGTCAAGGGAATCCAAACCTCGACCTAGGAACCATAAGTCTCCCTGGTAAAGACTGAATGACAGTCAACCCTAAAACCCAAAGCAGTCTTACAGTCTTACAGTCTCCCAATGTCCTGAACAGTCTTCAGCAGTGGCCCTTCCTAACAAGCCCTTTGAATACCCGAGATCCTACATCATCTAGATTTAATACCATCCATTTCATTATGATCACAATAATTAATAACAATAATACCTAAACCCTGCTATCTAGGCAAACCAGTGGTGCCTCTGCGTCGACGGCAAGACTGAGGACTGTCCTGCATGCTTTTGTTTTAAAGGAGTTTAGGGCTTGGGGTTTGGGGTATAGGACAGAGCCTTGAGCGCTTTGCTGTGCCCCACCTATTCTCCGAAGCCCTCCCTAAACCCTAAGCCCTAACCATAGTCCTTCTGCCAGGAAATCTTCAATGCTGTGGCTGCATGCGGCGTGCGCAGAGACCTGGGTCTAGAGTTAAAGTATTTGGTCTCTTGGCAGGTTTAATTTTCAAAGGGGCCGGGGGTTGTAGAGTTAAGGGTTTAATAAGGGTTTAGGGTTTTGGGGTTGTTGCAAGCATTCTTCCTACCAGTGGGGGCTTCAAGTGATGATGTTTCCCTAAGCCCTAAACCCTAAATAACCTTCAGGCAACCTATGGAACCCAGGCAAATCTTCTGAACACAACCCTAGAACCCCTTCAATCCAAATCATGAACCCAAAACAGCTCTAAAGCTGTTAACCCCAGACCCTGAATCCGGAGTTTGCAATCTTCAACCGGAAATCCAGGTGCT